TTGATGCTTAGACTTTCATTTTGAAACTGTAAAGCACACACTCACACAATATGAAATGACACAAATACATGCACCGTATTTGCCTCAAAAGGCACACACCTGCAACTCTTGAATGGCCTTGCGCTGAGTCTCAATTGTTCTTTTGTTCTCCTGAAGTTTCCTCTCGCTTTGCGCAGCATCAGAGTCCACTTTGACTTTCCAGCATTTGATTTTCTCCACCTCATCAAACATTTTTGAACAAAGCTGTCCAGGAGCACAGTCACTCTGTGGAACATTCGATCCAGATTATTTACCCAGGGATCGCCCGAGGATTTTGGTGGCCATAAATGAGATTTTATATGTACAGCCGCCGAATCATGCTGTGGTACCCACTACAGTGCGGCCCCATTCCGTGTGCATGACTTGTGCGCTTGTTGTGGCGCACATTAGACAGGCTCCCTAGGGTTGGGCATGATCGTTTTAATTTGAATTCCAGTTCTGGTTTCTTGTTTCCATTTCAGTTCCCAACGACTCCTGATTCCAATTCTTTTAGGGGCCAGGGTCAAAAAACGTTTGCGTGGTTTAAATCAGGGGTGTCCAAACCATGGCTATCCATTTTTTTAGCAGCCCAGAGCATAGACTAAAATGAAAATATGGCACATCCTGAACATTTGCTTTCTACACACTGGGTGGCAAACAAAGGAGAAGATAAGAAGTTTAACATCTCTCACTGTTTCATTTTCAACCAATAACACATCATTTGGTAAGACCACTGACCACCCACAAATACTGAAAAATTTATGTTTTGCTTTATACATCAATAAACATTAAGGCCCTTGCCTCCTGTTTTTCTATATGTGGCCCTTGGAAGCAAAGGTTTGGACACCCCGGCCTAAATGGCCTAGCTAATCAGCTATTTTTGGATGAAATCCTCTCAATTTGTCAACAAAGTATTAATATCAAACCTGAATTGTTTGTTTTTCATTTTCTTTTCACCGGAGTATAGGTTCCACTTTCACAACAGAGCATTATTTTTGAAAACCTCAGAAAATACATATACACATTTGAAAATGAGTGTATACAGGTTGCTCCCACTGATGGGCTAACCTAACTTGGTGTATAGAAGCAAAACAGAATATCTTAGCAACCCATTTCAAAATAGCAGCAGATAGTTACATAGTTCATGTTCAGGAAAATGGCCATATCTCCCTTCGTTGTTTTACTCATGTAAGATGATTGAAGTCTGGTGCAGTCTCTGCTCGTCATCCATAGCACTGTTAACTTTTACCGGTCGTGTGACCTCCTTTGCACAAAATACCTGTAATGTCACTGAAAGTGTTGTGAGGCGACTGCTCATTTATTTGAACAAAATTAAGCCACACCTTGGATTGCCGCCGTGTGCATGTGCATGTGGTTCGCAGCTGTGAATTTATTCCATTCGGGAGATGGGGCATCGAAACGGGGAACTGGAATTTTAAATGTGAATGACTCTGGCAGAATCGGAAGGTTACTCCCAGTTCCAATTGATTCCCAAGAATTGATACCCAACCCAAGGCTCCATACTGTTGTATAAATTGTACTATTTTTCTTGAATACTTTGCAATAGATTAACTCAGGGTGCGTCAGTGGCATAACAAGTTCATGCAGTGCAGCAAACATTGCAACACTAGAATTAATGGGGCACCACCAAGCAGTTGTGGCACTGCATTTACATTTGCACCATTGTAGATTTAGAGGCTGGTGACTTTTTACATATATATTACCTCCACTCTCTCTGTTGGGGCCACTGTCATCTTGAGGCAATCTTTTAAGGACACAAATAACATACAACTTTTAAACTTGACGCAGTGCATCTTCATCTTTAAGATGTGTGTTCCGCGGTAGACATTACCTTGTGTGATTGGTTTAGTTGGGGCGACAGCACTTTTGCTGAGGGCTGGCGTGTTTTGGTCTGTCACAAAATATTTACTGGGGCCCTAAACAAAAGCAGTAGGTCAATACATGTACAGTGGATAGAGAAGGTCTCCTGATCAAGTGCAAAAATTTGTGATTAAAAAAAAAAAAAAAAAAAAAAAAAAAAAAAAAATTTAAAAAAAAAAAAAAAAAAAAAAAGTGAACTAACTAAACTAAACCTAAACCCACATGTAATTTCTCAAAGCTCTTTTTTGGTCTTAACCACACGCTTGTCAAAGGTGAGGTGTGTTGTGTGGGTTAGAGAAGGTCTCCTGATCAAGTGCAAAAAATTGTGATTAAAAAAAAAAAAAAAAACAATAATAAAAAACTTTAAAAATAACACTTTTTATTAAAAATTACACCAAGATAAATTATGTCAAATATTTGTTTTCACCATTATGTCTTACAATCTATACAACTTAATTGAAAACAAAGGTAATCTTTTTGAGAGGGGAAATAAAAATAAACAACTGAGATTATGTGGTTGCACAAGCTTTGAAATTACTTTTCTTGATCTCATTTTTTTAATGTCACAAAAATCTGGTATTTGAAAAAGGGAGTGACGACTTTTTATATCCACCGTAGATGCAAGTTGTTTCCAGAGCAATGGGGGATATTGGTTATTTTCTCAATACGCCACATGTCCATGGTGAACACAGCTCTCACACACTATATACCTAACGTAGATGTACAACTACTTCAGTAAATGATGACTGCAAAAAGTAGAAGCACTGATTCAACTCCTTAAATAAAATTCAAAAAGCATATAGTTTTACTTTGATAATTTGTACAATGAGAAAAAACAAAACATGGTCTAATATCTTTGCTAACATCGTGAGATCATGACAGAAAATCGCTAAACTAGCCATTGAAAACTGAAAAAAAAACATGCCTCACTTATACAGGGATGTGTTTTCTGATTAGACAGAATTTTCAGAGGCCAGCAGCTGTTGGTTTGTAGGTGGACAGAGGACACTGCACATTCACCATAAATCATTCTTGTAGCTGACGAGATCAATGGATTGGTAATATCTCGCTTCTCCAATTATGTTGCCATCGTCATTGCTTACTGGTTCACGTTCCCCTATGTTTTAATTTCCCCCCCCCTGCTTTATCAGCCCCAAATATCTCAAATCACCAAAATCTCAACAGTGATTGAGATCTATGTCTGTTTTCCGTTGTTGACAAAAATGCATGAACATATTTTGACAAACTAAGTCTGTTTTAAGAGTTAACTCAAACATTGTCAGAAAAATATATACTGAGTATATAATAACTACATTACCAGACACCTAAAAATGTACTTAACTATAAATACTTAGTACTGACCAGCTCAACTCTGTTCTCGACACTCTCTTGGGGTTTAACCGCAGACACCTGGCTGCAATTATTCACCCTTGGTGGCACCAAAAGTTTGAAGTTGAACCGTCCGTCTTTGGCCATCTAGGAATCAAGTCCAACGCCTGAATGACTGCCTCGCAGGGGATACTGATCAGGCGTACATATTCACATTATTTTTTTTAGCGTAAATGTAATGAGCGCTCACCTTTAGATGTGACGAAAGCATTGTTTCGGAGCTCGTTCAAGACAAAGTAACAGATGCTGTTGGCGACAATACATTTAGTTGTTAAAAAATGAGTGAAATGTTTAGCTCGTTGATATCCAGAGCCGCTACTTGTTCGTGACTACTTGCAGAATCAGATAACTGTCAATAACAACATAAAAAATAAGCGTTTTTAAACTCGTTTCTTACCTACAACTCACGAACGTTTGTGTGCGAAGTCAGTTAATTTTACAAAATGGCGACGGCACATTAACGTCTGCTTAAAAACAAATGAGGAGCATACTTAACGTAAGGCTCGCGGGAAGCACACTTGTTAACAAGCGTACAGTATTTTTAATGCATGAATTTAAACTGCCTCACTGTTCTAATCGTGGTTAATAAACCTAGTATCAAATGCAATTAAACATTAAACATGTGATACCCCAATTGAAAAAAATATATATATACACACATACACGTGTGTGTGTGTGTGTGAAATCCATTATTCAATTAAATAAATTGATTAATAATGAACAAATACATCTTAACCAATTTGAGGGAAACATTTCAATTTCATACAACAAATGTTGTAGGACTGTAATGTAATAATAATGTAAATGCCCGGTGGGACAGATTATGGAAGAGTCATACATTGCCCATGCCCTAGAATATACATTTGGTTCAGAATTTACATTGTACTGTAAAAATCCACTTGCCATCCATCCGTCCATCCATCCATTTATTTTCAATGCCGATGAATTAGGCAGGTCGCTGGCCATCCATACAGCCGTTTTCTATACTGGTTATTAGGCAGGTTGCTGGCCAATCACGCATAAGGCATATGGACAAAAACATTTAGGCAGACACTTGTAATTGTTTTAGAGCAGGGGTCTCCAAGTCTGGTCCTCGGGAGCCCCAATCCAGCCGAGAACAGGCTGAACAGGGGCTCCCAAGGACTGGACTTGGAGATCCTTGATTTAGAGTCTTCACTGAATTTAACATGCATGTTTGTTGTTCTACTTCTTCCATTCATAACTTTGCTGCTATGAATTGGGAATTTCTCCATTGCGAGACCAATAAAGGTTTTCCTATCTTTTCCTATGTTTCTGGAATGTGTGAGGAAGCCAGAGTACCATGAGAAAACACACACAAGTTGAATGGGTAGAACATGCCAACTCCACAGAAGAAGGCCGGGGCCAGGTTCAAACCCCAACTCAAACAGAAAAGCTATGAGGTCTTGGCACCACCTCACTAACCGTCCAGTTAGGTGGCATATTGGCATAGAGGGATTGTTATTATAAGGACAATAACCAATGCTCAATTAACTTCATGCTTTCACAGCATTAACATAATTTATGGGGAATTGCAATATTTCCAAGGCTTCAACCAGTCAGTAATAATGAGCAAGATATGAATCCACTAGACAAACATTGTAGGTCTTTTCTATTTATTTGTGTGAAGCAAAAAAAAAAAAACAGTTTGGAAGTTGCAAAGTTCCTTCGTAATTGTGAATGCAATATATGACGTGAGTAAAGCAACTCAGTCAGACATTAGTATGTTTTCCTGTACAAGAAGATGCACACCATGCAATGAGGTCTCCATGCCCTCATTTCAGAACATTTTCCGTAAAGAAAAAAAATAGGAGAGTAACATTTTGTGTTCAACATAGTGATACAAGTAGAATAACGCTCTGCATGATTACATCAAAATAGGAGAAAACAACATGCTGTGTGATGTAATGCACATATTGAATCTGTGTAAAAAGTGAATTCAATTGGTTATTGCAAGCAGACACAATAAGAGTCCCTATTTCAAAATTATTCATATACACCAATACAGTAGTAGCATGTAAATATTTTCCAGTGAAGTGCACGTGATGGTACAATACAAATGTTTATTTTTTTGTGGTCAAAACAAAAGTGAATGCTAACTAGAGATTTGTCCTAAATGAGGCAGGATGTTTTCAGGTTTATCTCTATGACTTGAAACAAAGTGACTGAAAATAAGACCACTTAGACAGTGTCTGTGTTCTTGGACTCAACCACCTTGGCTGCAATGTCCCTGTAGGATTTATGATCTCCCACTCTGGCCATTCGCTCTTCCTCTTTCTTCTCTTTCCTCAGTAGCCGATAGTTGAGACCCATACCCATGAAGAGGAAGAAACTAGAGACGATGAGGAGAATCCCGCAGCCCTGGTACGTGTACTTGTAGTCGTGATAGATGTCCTTGAACTTTCCTGTGAGGAGGAGGATAATAAGGGTGTGATGTAATTACGGCAGTCCACACCACAGTATAGAGTGAAACTTCCACAGTCAAATACCAGCAAAGTTGGCACAATTTGGAATACGAACAAGTGTCATGATAACCGTAGAAACATCAATGGAACTGACTGGGACACAGCACAGGGTCTGGCCCTTCAGCGCAGCATTTAATATCAGTTGCATTGCATAAATAAATTTCAATGACTAGCGGTAACATGACAAAAAATGTTGCCAAAAAAATACAAATTAAAAAAAATCTTAATACAGGGGCCCCTCGGTTTCACGACGGGTTCTACATGAAGTTTCAATGGTAAGCACAGTGTGCAAATAAGTAGTTTGCGCAGCGGTGTACTTAATGCCTTGAAGCATTTTTCATACAAATATTTACTGTTGGGCAGCACGGCGGTTGACCGATTAGCACACCCGCCTCACAGTGCAGAGGGTGTGGGGGTGTGGAGTTCTCCCCGTGCTGGTGTGGGTTTTCTCCGGGTACTGCGGTTTCCTCCCACATTCCAAAAACTTGCATGGCAGGTCACTGGAGTGCTCTAAATTTTCCCTCGGTGTGATTGTGGGTGTGAATGTTCTGCAAATAGCTTCATCCGTGGGTGCCGAATTTCGACTTTACAAGGTTCCACTTTACTCTTTATTTTTTTGTATTTTCACTGATTGTGGGTGAATCTGGAATGTAACTCTTGTGATAAACAGAAGTTCACTGGTGTTGCTTTTTTTGGTTGTATTAAACATTGATTCACTTCTATTTTTACTTGTATGCTATGTATGACAGAACAGATAATATTCGACTGTGGAGGTTCCACTGTAACATTTGCGACTGAGTCGGTTACCTAGCAAAGGGGGTCCCAGCAACACGGGGCCACATTCAATGATAGTGACCAGGCCAACGGCACTGGAGAAGCGCTGCGCTCCCACCAGGTCCATCAGTGTCTCGAACAATACAGAGCTCAGCCAGCCGAAAGCAAAGCCAAAGAACATGGAGTAAATCACAAAGCCTTTGTAGTCGACTGACATAGGGGCGAAGACGTGACACACGCCGTTGTACAGCACCGAGGCGGCAAAGAAGTACTGGATCCTTGGCCGAACCCATTTGCTGTTGGCCACAATGCCCATCGAGGGCCGCGCGACCATGTCAACAAACGCCAGGACAGACAGCAGGAAAGCAGCTTTCTCTTTCGGGATGTCTTTGCTCTTTGCAAAATTGCTCAGGAACACTAACGGTGCGAAAAGGCCAAAGAACATGACGATATTGCCCGAAATGTAAAGCAAGAAGCCACGATGCTTGAACAAAGACAGATCGAGGAAGCTGTTCATGATTTGCGAACAGCTCCTTCGCTCCGTAGTCTTCTCCACCGGTTTGGGCTTCGGTCCGATGGGTCGCATAAGGGAACCGGCGACGCAGCAGTTGAGCAGCAGGCCGCCCAGGATGAGGAAGCTTCCTCTCCAGCCAAAGCGGTCGTAGAACCATGTGTTGAGAGGCGCCAACGTGGAAAGGAAGACTGGACTACCAGCCATGGCAATGCCGTTGGCAATGGGACGCCTATTGTAGAAGTATTTCCCAATCATAGTGAGGGCGGGGTTTAGGTTGAAGGACAACCCCAAACCTAAAACACAATCACAAATATTATTTAAACGGGACATATTTTGGAAAATGGGACTTTTGAATGGTGTAAAGATGGAACTCTGGAGGGCCTGGCCAAGCATGAAATGTGAAATTTAACAACCACCGTTAATCTTTTCCAGTCTATTTTCTGAAATTTGTGAAATATGTCTTCACACCGTACGATTAGTTTACACCAGGGGTGTCAAACTCATTTCTGTCGTGGGGCACATAGTAGTTAGGGTTTGACTTGGAGGGCCATTATGAATTTTGGGAAACCATATAAACGTTTGATCACCTCCACATATTACATACGCAGCACACAACAAATTGATGAATAACTAGTTTCTAAAATCAGAAGTCAAGAATAATGACTGTTATTGTGGATTACATATGACAATTTGAAATTTTGGTTCAGACTTTAGCAAGCCTCATGGAACTTGACATGCTTGATTTGCTTTCATGGGCCACAGAAAATGATGCGGCGGGCCAGATCTGGCCCCCGGGCCTTGACTTTGACACTTGTGCTTTACATAATCCCTGTTCACTTTCTCCTCCCATTCCTTAGAAGCTAGGTTGGGCAAAGGTTTGCCATTTTCTGAATAATAGTGAATGTAGTCCTGCCCTATTTTTTACACAATCTGGGTTCTACTTCCACACGTACAAGCCACTTATCTCATCGCAATGATCTTAGCTCAGCTACCTGCCATTTCCGCAGTGTATGCGATGAGTTGCTCACTTGCATGAGATAGGGCCATTCCCTCAAAATGGGCTAGTGCCAGCGAGACAATAAATGCTTAAGTGCTATCATTCTTGATCATTGTCAGAGAAATGTTATTTCGACAAGGGAACCATTTTAAATTGTGGAAAACGGTATGCTTTACAGCATTTGGACAACCTATTGTTGTTTCAGAACAGTAGGTGGCATAGGTGTGCATGATTGGTGGTTAAAAAAACAAAAAAATCAAACGTAAAGTACAGTACCTCCCACTACACCAATGCAAAAATACAGTGCTTGGACAGAGTTGCAGAAAGAGGCGGCTACAAGGCCCAATCCGGAAAGACATCCTCCCAGCATCATAACAGGACGACTTCCATATTTATTCACCAGGATGCTGCTGATAGGACCTGAGAATAAATAAACAAGTACGCACACGATGACTGTATTGAGTTGGATTGGATGTGACTGCAATTCTGTTTTTGTCCACAAGAGAGCCACAGCACCACATCTGAGGCCAAGCAAACTCGCAGCAACTTGTGCATCATTTTTGTCAGTGGTGCACTGCAGTAGATGCGTTTTCATTCCATTCATAATAGGATCCGTCAGAAAAACTGAGAGCTGTAATGAAATAATAATTTATTTGGCTTGGAGATGCATACACATTGACAGGTGTAATTTGTTTGTGGAATCTCCTGAAATTGACTTGAAATACATTTGAAAGATGATTGGGAAGTTCAGGCCTGGGTGTTTTATTTTGTGAACGTGTGGATGGAGGTTGTGGACACAGTGTGTTCGCGCTACAATATCAGCAAATCTTTAATGCAGGGCTCTTAGAATTAAGCTGTTATTCAAGTAGAATGAAGCCACAAGTGTTTGGTTCTGCAGCCATGTGAGGATTCTGTAAACCGGTGGTAAGAAATCTTCCGCCCATGGCTCAAAATATGGTCCATGAGAACACTTCGTTCGGCCTTCCATGCAATGCGTGCAATTCGTTCATATGTGGGTTCTAAGAGGCTTTGAGTGTCTATGAGGGCCCACGGGGAAGATCGCCTTCTTGCCAAATCCCCACACTGCCCAGTCCATCTAAATGGAAACTGACAGTTTTTGTTTAGAGGTTGTCCAAACTCATTTGCCGGCGCCACGCGAGACAAAAGGTCTTTAAATTGTAATGCAGGCCGTCTCCGAGCTATCAATGAGTTCTTTCCTGGCAGGGCCGAGGGGAGAGCTGCCCGGGATAAAAAGGTTGGAGACGAACCGGTGCGGAATATTATGAAGGTAATGGATCAAAAATGGAGGGAGTACAGAGGTGTGCAACAGTCGCTTAATGAACTCGTCCCGCTGACGTGCAGCGAGTGCTAAGCAGGCAAAGCTTCAGCATCGCAGTGCCTGCAAACACATTTCCCTGCTAACTTTCAATTTCTAATGTGCCACTTGCTGTCATCTGTGTATATTTATATCGAAACATTTGCATTAATTGACGGTGTCAGTCAGCCTCTCGGTGGAATGTGTCGCTATACGATAAGCAGCTTTGATTCATTTGATGTTAAACATCCTGTTTGCTGATGTCATGAGGAATGAGAGATTAAGATGGATGTGTTGTTTCATTTGATTGGACATGAAATGAGCTATTGTTGACTTAACTAGCAGAACTCATTCTTACATAATGTATGATGCCATTGTATGAATTCATAGCGCAACTAGCTTTCATTTGTTTGCACACTTTCCGAACACATTTTTCACTTAAAAACATACATTAGTGTTTGTGGTGTAATATTGTGTGATGCAATGTTTTCAGGTTCATATTCATTTGCCATACTAAGGAAATACCTGTACGTTCTAGACACTTTTCAGAGATCGCCAAAAACTGGCCACTTTCATCCTTTTTAGCCGTTTGTCTCGCATCGGAATAAAGAGAAGTGCAACTCTTTTCATTCTGAAGCATATAGCTGCGAGGGACGGCCGGTATCTTTCTTCTCCCTCTGAGGAATATCATGCAGAGTAGACAAAAGCTCCATCATCACCTGCCCTGCGTGTTTTCATTCATCTCATCAAAGTGGCCTACCTCACTTCTAACAAAACACATTCAGGATGTGTACAAATCAATCTAGCCAATCCAAAAATTCACCCAACGGTCATGTTTTGTAAACCTCAAAGACAATTTAGAGTCTTCAAAGTAGTGTTTTTTTTTTTTTCTCTTTTTAAGTCTTAAAAGAAGTTTTAGCAATTGGAAGCAGTAGGGGTTCAGTCCATCCGAACTTCAAAGGGTTAGAATGTGGCTGCGGAACTAAATAAGGGAATTTAGAGACAATTGTTGGAAGAAATGCGAGTGTGCTTCCTGAGGACTGTTGAAGTGCCCTTGGCCAAGGCACTTAATCAGTTGAGGAGTTCTTTCCTTGCATGGTGTGAATGTGTGATGTACTGCATGCAACACTGAAGCAGAGTGAAAGGACAACAGTACTTTCTTGAAAGTACTCATTATCACCACCTTGTGCCTTTTAGGACATCCCCATTTAAGTCGTTATGCTGTAGCTGAAATGTGTAGTTAGCAAGCTGGTACACAACATCCAACTACATACATAATATGATGAAAATTAGGAAATGTAAATGTTTCTGCAACATACCCACTGTTTCAGTTTCCATTGAAGAAAGGCAAATGCAATTGTTCAATATAATTACAAAATGACATTATCACAATGACTCATTTTTATCATATAATCATTTAAATTCATTTAATTTAATCTCATTTAACTACTTGTTACATACGTTATAGTTAGCAGAGCAGTATGTGTAATGTGAAAAAATCCCGTACGACTTGTTTAAAAAAAAAAGAAAAAGAAAAAGAAGATGGGTATGAAATGAAGGGCACACATTATAAGAGAGTTATTGCACCTGAATTGCTGCAAATGTTTTGCCACTTAAAATATTGCCCAAGTGTTTCATTCGTCGGGTTGTTTTTCATGATGACTGATTCTGGTGGGGACACTTAATAGAACATTATAGTTTGACACAAATGGTCTGTTTGAATCATTCTTTCGGTAAAATCCCATATCTGAAGATGTAGTTACCTCCTCCGTACGTGACCGCTAACATGATGGAGGAAATCCAGGAGACCTGGCTGCTGGTAACATTGAAGATCATTTCAATTTCCTTGAAGAAGACAGTGATGGACTTGGGGAACGCATAAGAGAAGCCAATCGAGATGAAGGCCCCAATCACCACCATCCATCCCCAGCCGCCCTCCGGGGGGGTGTAGCCGACTGGACCTCCGACGGCCGGTGCCATTTTGACTAGCAAGGGTTGGTTTCTGTTTCTCTATATGTGGTGCAAACAGGGAGAACCTTTGCAGAAAAGAACACATTATTAATTCGTATTTTCTCTTCCTAAAAGGGGAAGTCAACTCAAATGTTAGTTTTTTTTTTAATTTTTCTTAAGAATATGTTGTATGTGGCCCCGCAAAGTATAAATCCTGTATTCTGATTCATGTTGTGCTTGTGCAATATGAACTGAGCAGAAAAAATTTTATCCATCTCAGGTTTTGTGGCCAAGTTGCCACTTGCTGTCGACTGAAGAGAGATCACAGATGCTCAAGGCTCGAGTAATGAGCAATCATGGTTCACCTGTTTTCCGAGTTTGGTCATGTGGCATTTGCAAGCTGAGCTTTGATTGGTCATTACCTGAGCCCTGAGCAACTGTGATGTCATTTTCATTTGACAGCAAGTGGCAAAATGGCTGCCTTCTGAGGTAAATAAAAATGGATGGATTTTATGGCTTAAATCATATTCCACAAACACAATATTAATGTGTTTACACTAGTGGGGTGTAAAGAACACAATATAATTATGAAGTTTTGAGTTGACTTCCCCTTTGATATTCCATTTTTCATTGTTTGTCATTTGTCAGTACAATAGGATATTGTGTCACCATCCTGAAACAATCCTATTTGTCACTTGTATTGGTCAAGAGGAAACCTTTCCATTCAGTGTTTGCACATGTTTCAATGTAATTAGTTCCAAGGAGTCCTAGTGTCATGTCTGTGATATGATTTTTTTGAAATACCCTAACGAACAAGAATTACTATGATACCTTTTAACCCTCTTTTTCTAGCTTTGCTGAAATTATCCTGCTTTGAGGGGGTGGTCACGCGAGTGCAAACCATCAACACAGTAATTGTATTTTCATTAGGGGAGGCGCCAGTTCATCACTAAAATACTGAATTAAACTTGCCACTTTGTGTTGTGGATCTGTAGATATCGTTTATCTTCCCCAAACTTGAGGTAGGGGAATTTTGTCACATTCCACTTCAAAACTTCGATCCAAAGTAATCAAGACAAAACTGTGGTGGTGTGATGGAGGTGAGTCTCATGTTTTATCTATAGTTTAAAATCAACATGAGCGCGGTAGCCACCATGACTAAAGTGCGCCTCTGAGCGCTTCTGAGTCGAGCACATCCTGAACATTTTGCTAAGTGGACAACAGGGTGCGAGATTGAGGATGCTCTTAAGGAGATAGCTCGGCTCTGCACGCGCTCCCTTCCACTGATCTCCAGCAGTCTCGCTTAAGTCTCGATGAATAAGAGTCCATTTGCGGAGTCAACAACTTACTGTGTTGTTTACACTGGGGAGGCCACTCGGAGAAAACATCGATCAGAGCATGAACATGAGGAATTCACAGAGCTGCGTAGCCCCCAGCTCTATGAAGGGCTCCTTTTTCTTGAACCGCTTTGTACTTGATTTGGTTGACGAATTCTCTTATAAAAGAGCGGTCTTATAAACGTATTGGAGAGGCCACTTCTGCGTAGTGAGGAGTAAATATTTAATGTGTGAAAGAACTTTTGTTATTGAGCTGGGATTTTGGCTGCTGCTATGCAGCTGTAAATGTTTCTCCTGCACCGAACTAGTGAAAAAATGGGGGAGAAACTGACGTGTTCTTATTTACAGCATTCATACACACCGTTGATGTCACCTGGTCTACAAAAATAGTTATCACTTCCACATTGAGCCATTCATTTTTGTATGGATGGATTAGCTTGACAAAGCGCAATTGCTTCTTCCCGCATCATGTTACAGTATTTTTATTATTTAACAAGAAGAGAATATATATTACTGTACAATGTTTTTCTACAATACTGTGTATTTTGTGAGTCTTTTAAATCGAGATGGACATACAATAGCCTATTTTGTTCAACATAGAATGCACATTGCAGACAGACTGTCTATGTCAGTGTTACCCAACCTTTATTCATCCATAGGACCTTGTTTCTATTTACTCCCAAAATGATTTGCTTCGTGTAAAATCTCAGCATGTTTACTTGAACACAAAGCTATTTTGGGGCTGAGTATTTGGGGTCTGAATGCAAAGGGTGGATACACAGGTTAATGGTACCTTCTGCTATCTAGTGGAAGAGCATTTATTGTTTTGCCTTTCACTATATGATGCTGGCATTAATATCTGAACACAGATACATTTTTTGGGGAGTAATTCAATAATGAGTGAAATCAGATCTCTCACAGCACAGTGGTTGGGAGTCGCTGACCTGTGTCCAGCCTGCGTAGCTGTAAACATGGGATAGCTTTGGTGAGGTGAATGTTCCGGATCCCCCTTCACTCTCGTCGTCTATCCGAATTTGCAAACCAAAAATCAGCATGAATGCAAGAACACCCACTTGAACAATATTCGCTGTCTAGAAATACTGTAGTTGCTATCCGTCCATACAAGAGCAGGAGTGAGTCGGGAGGGAACCGGAGGTGGGATGGGGGGCGGGTGGGG